GACGTTAGGCATACAAGTGCCCTTCATTTGGGATTACAAGTGGACCCAAAGTATTCCAGAAGACTCTCAGTGAAATAGTGAAAAAATTGAATTCGGACTGTGTACTCGTCCATGCCGACGATGTCCTCGTAACAGGTCGAAATATCAGAGAGCATAATGAAAGCGTGCCTAAAGTACTTAGCTATTTAGCAAATCGTGGATTCACACTGAATAAAAAGAAATGTGAATTTCAAACAACTGAATAAACAAGATATCCTGGCTACATAATATGCTCAGATGGTATCAAAGTCGACTCTCAAAGTACAGAGGCTATTATCCACTACCAAGCGCCTTGAAATAAAACAGACATTCGTCAATTTCTCGACCAGGTGAAATATGTGGCAAAGTTCGTGGAAGATTTAGCAAAAAAGTCGATTCGAGAACCACTTAGAATCCATAATGAGTCTTTGTGGACAATAGTAAACCAGAAAGACTTCGACCGATAGAAATCTGAGATAGCTTTATATAATATTTTAGCAAAGTATTCAACATCTCGGAAAATCTGTATTTCAGCAGATTCAAGTCAATACGGACTAGGTGCAGTCTTGGAACAGTTTGATGATTCGGAACAGTGGCGGCCTGTTTATTATTGTTCTAAGTCACTGAGTATAGCCAGAAAAAGTATGCTAAGATAGAAAAAAGAGGCATTAGCTGAAACGTGGGCGTGCGAGAGATTTGAGTTTGTCTGAGGATCAAAGTTCGAGATTCTTACTGATCATGAACCGCTAACTCTTATTCTTGCATCGAAAGAAAGAAATAAACTATTTTCATTGCATCAATTTTAATAGAAAATTCCAAGACTAGAATAGAGTATTAATATGAAAAAATATTAGTAAGACCCCAGTTTTTGATGGTTTAGTAGTTGAAATGTTTTATTGTGTTGTTTCAAAAACAAAGCAAGATACGAAAAAAATTCTAGATATAAAAAAGTTGTAATTTTAGTTGCTCAATGTGAAACAAATACAAAAATTGCAAAAAAATCAGTGGCGCACATCTTTTTTGTCAAAAATATTGGTTACAGTGCCTTCCGGGACGCCACTGGACATGATAATCTTGATATAGTTACGGTTAAATTAGCCCTTTACGACCTTGAATAACACTGCCAAATTTCAATAAAATCGGTTGAAGGGTTATTAATATATTTACGAAAAAAACGATTTCTTTTAAAAATTTTGACACCCTGTATCTTGAAAACGAAGCATTACCGGACCTATGTTTATATGAACTTTTCGTCTTAGAATCACTCAAAGAATCACCCCTTCGAGTTTGGCCACGTACTTAAATAACACCCTGTATGTGTGAACCGAATTTATTCACATATACGAACGATGAACAAGGAAAATCATCCGATTCTCCGATTGACTACCACATTTCTGTCATAACTATTTTATGAGTCAGGCGACTTGTCTATATTGTTTTAGCCGAATTTGATGACTTTCATGATGATATTCAAAGGCAAAAAGACAGCGCAGTGATTGAGCGCTCGACCAGCAATCAGAACGGCGAGTGGATTCTTGGCAGAGCAGAGAATTTCTACTTATAAAACGAGTTATAAATTCTAATTTCCGTAGCCTCGGCCGATGATTATTGGTGCTGCTCCTAAGGTGGTGTATGGAGTTAGTAACAAAGCCTACCGAGTATCATCGAAAAGAAACAGAAATTCACAAGTATGTGTTTTTTAGTTACAACCTATTCAATGAGCTACATTGAGAGAGTTCTCATTTTCTCTTCTCAGATCGCCAACGTATCTAAGCTTTTCACTTTGGAGGTGTTGGATGTGAAGTTGTTGCTGTTTTTGTTATTGTAAATTCAAGCTATACGTGTAGTCCTGCTTCAGCCTTCATCTCTCAGAATTGAAAAGATGAGATCAATATCAGTAGCGCAGATGTTGTTGATTGTTAAAACAAGCTCTTTGATGCATTTGTGATTTATTGATACATTTCATTACATAATTTGAATCGAGACAAAGTGCTTTTCAAGGTTATTGTGCTTCGATTATTCAAGCAGTCTGGTTGAGCAGAGTCATGTAGGAATATGATGTTCGAAGAATCTGTAATTAAACAATTAGTAAAGATGAAGTTGAGTTGCAGATATTTCTGAAGGTGGAGGTGCCTGATTCACATGATGAACTCATCAGGAAACGAAAGTATGCAAAGTCGTGAACGATTTGTGAAATTAGTTGTTTCTAAACGAGCATCATCTTCCATTATCATATAACCGGCCTAAAATCAACACAAAAAACCTTGGTATTTTTGGAAAAACGAAAATCTGTCTCTTCACAATTGGTGAATTGTTCCAAAGGAGAATCAAATATATAAAGTGCACTCTATGACCAAGTGGGGTCATCTTCAGTGATATACACTGCTCGCCAACAACCATGGAACCACCCGAATTTCTGGAAAATTATATTAGGAGTCAAAATAGGTTGAAGATCACTTCGGATTCGGAATCAGGACGCCCAATTCACCATATTTCCTATATTTCTTGTTTTTCGAGAAAAACGGACAATACCATATCTCGGCATATTTCTGAATTCCATGAAGAATAATAAAAATTATCGACAATTTTATTGCACATTTTTATTATTGAAATGTATACATAATGTTTTGACGACACAGGTTCATTTAATCATCCTTTCTCGGATTTCATATTGCATAAAATAGATCTTGAACAGATCTATCGAAATCTACTGAGTTTTTGACAGTATAGGTCCGGAGGAGAATGAGTTCCTATATCTCGGAAACGAAGCATATTCGGACCCATGTCTATATGAACTTTTTTCATATTTTGTTGAGAGAAATATCGCCTAGACTGGAAAATTCAACCATCAGGAAAATTCTAGGCTTCATCAGAAGTCTAGACCAAAACTAGATAAGGGTATCCAATATAGATCTTCTAGGTAGCAGTGACCGAGAGGTCTCCCAGCCAGAACGACCCATCTACAATGTACAATCCACCCCTTAGACTTTTGTCTCCACGACTCTATTTATTTAAAACTATTACATTAATAGACTGTCAGGACATAGCAGTACAACTATTCATACACATCCCATTTTGTGAAATTCTGACGAAATTTTGCGCACTTTTTCTTATTCCATTATACAGGCTGGATGGCACATTAGACGTTGGTGGTGAACCAGACACTGGATCACTTTGAACATCTGTTCGAGAATGCGGTGTTGCTTCTTTTATTATAAAGTAGTGGCAACTTTGATTTTTCAAATTGTACACACTCTGTATAATATGATTTCTAGAAACTCCGACATATTTTCAACATTTTTTCTTGATATTTCTCTGAGCCTCATAGGAATCACACCTATTTATTACCGTTCTCGGTATAGAAATTAATTTTGAAATTTTTCTTCGAAAATCATGACCTCTAAAAATGCTGATACTTTGAGTTAAGAAAAGCTATGATAACGAAATCAGGTTTGGAGTTAGGTGAAACATGGAGGCTTCGGACACTTCAGCCTGATCTTCGTTACTTCAATACAGGGTGGTGAGAAAAAAATTACTGAAAGTTGATTATTTCGTATGAAACACCCTATAGGTATATCATTCGGAAAGCTGCTTGAATTTTCTCATCACCTATGTATATCATGCCTATACCTACCTTCTATAACTAGTCAAGTTTCGTAGGTAGGCAATTATGTGTGAAAATGTTCTTGCAGAATGGTATCCCCATTTGGTATTTGTTAAGCAGGCCATGATCAATCATTCGACAGTAACATTGTGATGTTGTGACAGCTTCCTGTTGATATCGACATTTACGTTTTACGTGACTTCAGAAGTTGCAAATACCTTCGAAGTTGATGGAACAAAACTATTTAAACGTTCTGCTTATGAATTTGTTCATTATTTTTGGATAGTGTGATCGAATCATCAGCAAGACATGTAGAAAGTTCGATGGAATATAAATGTATCCAAATCTACCGCCAATGAACTTGAAGATATTTACACGAATTCAGAACAATTCCAATACGATTGGATGAACTTTGAAAAAAGCATGAAGAAACTTGAAAATATCTATGGACTCTTTTCGTAGTGGCAAATCTAATTCCTTCCGGATACAAATGTTCAATTGTGTGGGAAATCCAACAATTCATCTCTCTAACGCACGGATGTTTTTCAAACTTTTTATTCGAACATTCCGTACAGATACAAATCTAATGTATTGAGATCAGGCCAATTCCATGATTTCATCACCGATCTTCGGAAAGTATTTCCAATTCAATTTTTGAACAATGTATAGGAGCTTTGTCTAGTATTGTTACCAACACTTGTGATATTCATCGACTGGCAGAATATATATCGAAGAAATCCTCTATAGTATTTCCTGAAATATTCCAAGAAATATTCAAAAGAACTCTGTTCGAATGGTCCTATTCCATCGTTTCTGAAGTGACGAAAATGTCGATATCATTAGGAGACTGTCTCAACATGACGATGGCCTGTCTAACAGTAACAAGTAACTCCTTTGAGCAAATGGCAAAACTGTATTTTTTTCCACCCTGTATTGAAGTACCGAAGATTATAGGCTGAAGTGCGAAAAGTCTCGAATTATCACTTAACTCCGAACCAAATTTCGTTACCACAGTTTTTTCAACTCAAAGATGTCAGCATTTTTGAAGAAACATAGTGAAATTATTTTTCATTTCGAGAATGGTAACAGATATGCACAGGAAAATATCAAGGAGAGTTCTTGGAGATTCTGAAAATAATATCTTACAGCGTGTCTCACTTTGAATGCCCTTCCCCTATGGTGCTCAATTTGAAAAATCGAAGCTACTATACTACCTACTTTCTAATTTCAAATTTTCAAAGTGAATTACCAGGCACATTGAATGTGCCATCCACCGTGATTCAGCATGTTTACTTCCCGTATTTTCAATATTGAGTTAGATTGTCGGATGAAAAGCGATATGAATAGGAGTGCAATATCTATACTCTAATATTCTCACCATCACAAATAATCCATAGTTCAAGATACCAATTGGTGCGGCTTCTAAGTATATAGGTTTTTGTGATCTGAGAAGTATGAACACGATATCTTTCTTGGTTTCACCATCAGTGATATACCACTGTGATTCTGAGATGGCAGCACCAACAGAGACAATCTGAAATGATTATAAATATTTCAAATGAGGTTGTATACTCTTCACTTCTTCACTCATTCTCAGTGTACATAAATATGTTTCCTTCAAATGTTTTCAGATTTCTTAGGAGAATCGAATATATTTGATGTGATGTGTAATGTGTATCATTATTTGTTATATCTGCTGCTGCTTATCATATCTGTCGACTTTATTCAATCATTGGAAGAAGGGTTGTCATCAGTCTTACTGAAGGAAATTGGATAATTCTATTTACATATGACCAGTGAGTGGTCAATTGTAGCTATAATATTATTTCAATATTGAATCAAATGAATCAGATAACGATTCATACGATAGCAGTAGAGATGAATTCAAAATTTTAGCCGCTCCAGAATGCCGAACGATTCCATTGAAGTTACAGACGTAACTTTAAGATTCCGTCGGTAACTTATGCCACGATCAAGCAACGCTGTACATTTCATTATTTATTTATTTATTAATATAGTCTTTTCTGCGAATTTGAAGAAGGGAAATATCCTTTCCGCACAAGACCTAACTCGGCCGAAATGAACCTTCTTCCTAAAATAGTTCATTATACATCAAGGAACAGAAATGCAAGTTTTTTCCAAGGTGCGATTTGTACCTCGAGGGCGAAGCCCGATAAATACACAGCACCGAGGGAAAAACACCATTTAGTCCTGAGGTGTATATACAATTTTTTACGCTGGCGAAAACATAAAAATTATGGAAGAATAAAAATTTGGTCAAAGTGTTTTCTCATAATTAGTAGTAGTTAGAGTCACTAGATGGTATTAGTTTGATAAGAGTTCGGACACAGAAATGACAACGGTTAGGGTTTTTGAATGTTTAGATTTATAAAGTTACACACCATGCATTGTGACAAGAGCATCATAGTCGTCCCGTGCTTTTTCATTCAAAATTTTTTGAAGTTGACAATTCATTTTATAAACGTCAGAATTGAAATAAAATTTCATAATTTTTATACTTTCGAGATGAAAGCAGCTATGGAAATCACTTGCTGTATAATAAATTGTGCCAATTTTGAAACAAATGGATATCATTTATTCGATTTTCCAATTCGAATATCAAGCATTCGCTTATGGAAGGAAGATATGAAACGGCCTGGGTGGAAAATCAATTTGAAGACGAGCGAAATTTGTGAGGTACTCATTGAAATTCACTTCTTATAACAGCATCTAATTAGAATGAATTTATAATTTAGGCCCATTTCCAAACAGAAGATTTCAAAATCTGTTTGAGAGAATCTGCTGTTCCATCAATTTACAAAGCAGACGATTTCAAGAACAAAATTCCATCATTATCATCACACAAAATACAAAACAAAATTATCATGGAAGAAGGAGAAATGATCGCAAAATTACATTATGAAATTGAAAATTTGAAAACGAAACTAAGAAAAGCAAGTAAACTACAACGTGATATATTATTGAATGGCGTTTTTGGTGCTGACCGCGAATTCAAAATTCAACAGTGAAAAGTGAATAGATATTTATGTATCAAGGGAATTATTATAAGGGCCTTAATTACGCTGGAGGTTATCGTTTTGGAGATATTATCTATATCGATCCATGTTACTTAGCTCTTAGGGCGGGCGCTAAGTGAAGTTGCTGAGAACTTAACAAAACCAAGTATTTGGTAGGTCTCGTCAAAATAAATTCCTTTTTTCCATAAATTCTTTATCGAAAAATGATCTGTTCTCTGTATTTCAACACCATGTATCTCAGAAATGAAGCATTTCCAGACACAAGCTTATATAGACTTTATTTCTTAAAATTATCTCAGGAATATATATATATATATACTTCACTGGAGTACAGTTTCACATACAATAAGGAATTATAGCTAAAAGTTTATCCATATGTATATATTCTCTGATATTAAAATTTTGTTACATGCATTTTTTTCATTTATATAAATCGTGCTCTGCTAGAAGGGTATCACTATGAATTGGAGTGGGTGTTTGTACCCTATATCCATTGTCCATCTACGGCTATGATTGATTTGACAGAAAATATAACCTCTAAAATCGTATCTGACAATCAGGCGCTACTAGGGAAATTGAAAAGACAAAGAGCAGAATATATGTCTTATTCTTTTATTCACTTAAACCATTGTATTATAGAAAATAGAAAAGGACAAAAGTTCAGCTGTGTCCGAACTCTTATCAAACTATAATACCATCCAGTGACTCTAGTAGTATAGTATAGTTTGTGGAATTCGTATCTTGACAACATGCATCTTGTTGACAACCCATGGTGACAGCATATCAAACTGACATTTATGAAAACAGCTTTGGAAATGGTTAACGGTTATGGAACAAGAAATCGAGGGAAAACCTCAAGAAACCATTGATACTGCTCCTGCAGTGACTCGCTTCGAAGGGTGTTCCGAAAAGGAAGCGCAGAGCTATGCGGAAAATGTAAAGTTGGTATAAACTCCCTAGGGAGAAAATATGTCATATTATCTCCCTAGTGAATAATACGAGACTTCTGCCCCTGTTTTGTTACCAGAGAAACATACTTCTACTCCCGCTGGCGTAGAAAGTATATTTTTTGGGCAATTACTATTATAGAAAACAAACGAGACTGCTTCTTCGAATAGTTCAACCTAACATGGCCTGAGTGAACCTTCTTCCTATAAAATACATATACACGGCAGTTGTTTCTTGTCAGAGTGATAATATCGTTTTTCTTTGAATCTCGTCGGGATATATATTCTGTAGTTTCCAATATAATAAAGTTTATTTGTGGTATGAAGATCAGTCTTTCACGTATATCTGGGGCTTAGCCTACTGACAAACCGTTGGAAGAACCCAAATATAGCCAACATTTTTCGATATTTTTTAACCAGTACATAGCTGCTTTTCCCATGCACCCTCCATTGAAATTATCGTTACTATGACCGAAATCCGGCATAATATAAATTTGGGTAGGTGCTTGTACGGGTTGCACGCTCTGCTTCTCCAGCAAATTTCAAGAATTTATCTTCACTGGCTAAACAATTCTGTTCCATCATGACCATCATATTCATGAATTTATCCATCAAATCGGTATTCGATGTTGACATGTCTATTTCCTTTTGAGTGTTTCCATCTCCATCTCCGTCCATTTTGCAGCTTCAAATTTCAATAACTCAAAATTTATCTAGTACCCCGTGTTCGTCTACAGTTCACCACTTCTGATTAATGTTGGCTATATTTGGGTTCGTCAGTAGGCTAAGCCCCAGATATACGTAAAACACTGAACTTTACCACAAATAAACTTTATTATTTTGAAAACTACAGAATATATTCAGACGAGATTCAAAGAAAAACGATTGTCACTCTGTCAAGAAACAAGTGCCATTCCTCAAACCTTTAATATCCCTCCTATACATCGTGCTGTCCTCCTATTCAATACATTGCTATACAGGGTAATATTGGCAAATAAATATATAACATGAGGTTTCTCGTTTTAAGTATAGGCCGTCTTTGTCAAGAATTTATCCTTGCCCGAGGCGAAAATATTCGCTACTGACCCTCTCGTTTAACTTATGTGACTTCGCATTCTGTTCCTGCTGTTTCGTTATTTGTTAAATTTGGATATTAATTTTCCATAAAATAATGTTGCACTATCAAATGGTGTTTTTCGAGAAATAGGAAAGATAATGGAGTGAATCCAAAAAAATGAATGTTGAAGAAAGATAAAGCTGAAGTGAAATTTGAATCCTAACTTGATATGGTAACTATTACACTCTACAAGGCATTACAAATTTCATGAAAAGAAAAACACGCTATAATTGCTGCACCCAGTATATATAAAAAGGAGGTTTCTTTGTGAAGACAGTTCGCACACCAAAGTTCAGATGGAGATAACCTGTCATTCAGAACAAAAATCGTCGAAATCAAAGAAGTAGGTATATAGTTTTGACGAAAATGAATCTCAAACTTTTGGTTTCAGTTTGGTTGTGCGTTAATTCCTGAGAGAAGTTTATAAATATTCTGTGTAAAATTGCAAAGCCGCTAAGCGTAAATTGAATTCATAGGTTAGGTATCGTTCTTACAACCCCTTCTCCCGAATAATTTCTACTCATGCTTCTGAATTTCACATCAGGTTATACTTGACGGAATTTATTCTCTGTCAAAATATGTTCAGATCAACTAGTGCCTATAGTGAACATTTGTTAAGGAATGTATTTTTTATCAACAATACTAATAAATTTCCCTCATGAATAATAGCTGAAAGTAAACGATAATAACTGGGCTGAATTTCGGGTCATTACAAATGAATTATACCTCGCAGACGCTTTTAACATTGGTTATTACAGAAAAAAAAAACGGGATATTACCTGTACAATATTAAACACAAATTTCCTCTTCCTAATTCACTTAATACCTTTGGTCAACATTCCCGTTCATTACATATGAACGGATTCGGTTCAATGGATATTGAGCCTAAGGAAATCGAAAATTTCAGAACTATTGGGATAGGTCCGTAATGTTGATTCGTTCAGAGATGATCTTCAGCACGATCAATGTGAATACTGTCCAAATTGTTCAACTATCTAATATTTGACATGTTCGAGAAGTCTTGGATAATCTGAAGTGATAGGGTGACTCCTCAAAATATGTTGGGCAATGCTTGATTCATCGAACCAATTATATCCGAAGTGAGCGATATGTTCTTTGAATCTTATGCTGATGATCTGATAGATTTGTCCAATATATTTTATGTTGCAGTCATCACAATTCATCTCATGAATACTCGATTTTTTATCAGTATAATTATTACATCTTCTGGGTTACCTAGAAGTCTAGGAATGCTTTTTATCTATATAGAGTCCTTGTAACTTTTGCATCAAATAAACTCTTCACAAAAACTCTCATAAGCTGACATAACTGTCGAAGTGGTGGTTGGAAGAAGATTATTTCAATTCCTAGCATTTCCTAATATATTATTCATTACAGAAATCTCATCACCATTGTGAATTGCAATATTCGT